ATCAACACAATAATTATTAAACTTCACTAACTAATAAAGCTGTGTATTGACAGCTACGTGATGATTTCATCAACACAATAATTATTAAACTTCACTAACTAATAAAGCTGTGTATCGACAGCCAGGTGATGATTTCATCAACACAATAATTATTAAACTTCTCTACTAATAAAGCTGTGTATCAACAGCCATGTGATGATTTCATCAACACAATAATTATTAAACTTCTCTAACTAACAAAGCTGTGTATCGACAGCCAGGTGATGATTTCATCAACACAATAATTATTAAACTTCACTTACTAATAAAGCTGTGTTTGAAGAGCCAAGTGATGATAAGCATCACAATATTAAGATCACAATGTGACAAGTATCAAGCTACATTTTTTCTATAACTGCATATCAAAATAAAAAGTACACAATGTTGAAAATTTTTTGATTCATTAAGCACAACCTCATGTATAATAAAACAAAAAAAAATATGCAGAACTGATGTTGTACCAAATGCAATTACATGTTTATTAAATTACAAGAATATTTCACAACCATACTGCATTCGTAGTTCATTTAAATGTGCAGATCTAAGAAAAACAGTTATGCTATTGTTAGAAATAAAGAACCACACTCAATAACAATATAATCTACACGATGAACCAAGACTATACAAAATGTCTAATTTTTATTCCAAAAGCAAAATAAACTTAAATGTCTCTGAACATAACTGTGCAAAAGACTGTTCTTTAACTTTAGTGTTAACTCCAGTAAGTTTAAAGTTTTCATTTCACTTATTTTATGTGATGTATTTTCATGTAAATAACCCACCTACTGGTATACACCGTACCCAAGGACAAAAGTGCCCTAAAAAACTTTTAGGTACGTAATACACGCACTCGTGAATATTCCGCAAGCCAGCAACACAAATAATTTTTGGAAGACAAGAAAAATTATAGAATCCTTTTACGGTAACACAATAAAACCTTCACTAACAGACACTCTGGATTAGAGGCGAGTAACCTGTAGCTATCATTAGTTGAATCTACGGGAAGTCTTTGCACAAATAAGAATCAGAGTTAAACCATCCAATCAGAACATGTCCTCCACAACCTACCAGAATAATATAAAGATTGACAACACCATACATACACTGAACTGAAGACAAAAGGTGGAAGATTTTCAAAACTTCATCCTCTATACTTGTGTTTCCACATTTGGCAGTTTCTGCCCATTTAACTAAATTCACCATGTTGGCTGTTGAATTTTGTATCATTTTACGAATTTGTCCAACTTATTAGAAATCGTCATAAAACATTACTGCTGTACAATGTGTGATGTCAATACAAGGAAGAGAAAATGTAAAAGTTACATGGCTGAAATCAAACTGAAAGTTTCTCAGTATGGGGAAGAACAGGGCAACAGAGATGCTGGTCATGTGTTTGAAGTGGACAAAATATCTGTGCGAGAATAGTGGAAACAACAGCCAAAATTTTTAAAAATACCAAAAACTAAATGAGCCGTGAGGGGTGGACATTTGAAGTGGTCAACACTGGAAGAAGATCTGAAGGCTTGGGTTCTATCACAGAGAGATGTTGACCATTCAGTATTCCAAAACCCTTATATGCCTTTGAGCCCAGTAAATGACCAAGCAGATGGGTATCGCTAATTTTATGACAGGACCTTCATGGTGTTTCAAAATCATGAAACGAAACAGACTATCTGTTAGACCAAGGATGAGTGTTGGCCAAAAGCTACCCATGGGCTGGGAAGTTAAAGTGGAAAGCTTCTTCGAGTTTGTTAAAAATAAAAAGGCAGATTTGGACATCCAAATGGCATATTTCCTCAGTAAGATGGATGAGGTGCCTGTCACTTATGATGTACTGCCATCAAAGACTGTTGAAACAAAAAACACTTTGACCATCAGGGCAAACTGCATGAATATACAGCATCTGGGTAAATGAAGAAGGCCAGCTATCCTAAAGTTTGCTGTAGGGCTGTAGAAGCAGAGAATGCTGTTAAAGTGTCAACTATTTTGAATACTTATAAGAAAAGTAGGCTGACTTCTAGAGAAGATGAGGACGAGAGAGATGACGACGTGGATTACAACAAAGCTACACTTACCAAATCTGGGCTGTTTCACAGTGACACAGAAGAGGAGGACGAGAGAGATGACGATGTGGATTACAACACAGCTACACTTACCAAATCTGGGCTGTTTCACAGTGACACAGAAGAGGAGGACGAGAGAGATGACGATGTGGATTACAACACAGCTACACTTACCAAATCTGGGCTGTTTCACAGTGACACAGAAGAGGAGGACGAGAGAGATGACGATGTGGATTACAACACAGCTACATTTACCAAATCTGGGCTGCTTCACAGTGACACAGAAGAGGAGGACGAGAGAGATGACGACGTGGATTACAACACAGCTACACTTACCAACTTACCAAATCTGGGCTGTTTCACAGTGACACAGAAGAGGAGGACAAGAGAGAGATGACGGCGTGGATTACAACACAGCTACACTTACCAACTTACCAAATCTGGGCTGCTTCAGCTGTTTCACAGAAGATGAGGACTTTTGATAGGTTTATGGAAGAATATTTACCTTTAATTTTCATTTAAATAAAACATTGCCAGGTTGTCAACATACACTCATATATTTTCATTTGAAGATATAATTTAATTTCCTTCTGTTGCTATACGTTGTACAGGGAAAACTGTACTTATACGGGAAGAAAGTGTATTGTTTATTTTTAGTCATTTAATTATTTCATATCAAATTAGATATATGCATGTAACATCTGCAAAGGAACTATAATTAAAGATATTAAGATTAAACTTACAAAAAAAATCATGTATCTTGTTGATAATTTTACTCAATCCTCTGTGGTGAAGCCAGTCACAAGTTAGAGGTTATGGTGACGCTATACGACAAACTGAAACTGAAACCAACTCGTCGTGGAATATGTGAGCAATTAATTAAGTCACAATTGTAATCTATTTAAATACTTTGTCTTTTTACCAGAGAATAACCGGAATTGCTAACAGACATACTTATTGACTGATTGATTAATCGCTCCATGTGTTGAACAAGAATAACAACCATATAAGTGAGTATTCGGAATAGAAAACTGGCGATTTCAGTCTTTAAAAAAAAAAATAAACTTATTACCCACACCTAAGTATACACTGCAATTGGCATTTTTGAAAACTAATTTAACATATAGCCCACAGGTTATTTGCGTGAAAATACAGTACCAAAAAAACAGCAATAAAAAAAATTATGAAATTGCACAAACTAACAGCTACATGAAACTACGTGTCAACAAAATGATAAATGTAAATTACCAAAATTGTTTTCCAAAGCAAAAGAAGAACTTTTTTGATTGGAAAATGTGGAGCTGACCCACTGCAGAACCTGGTAACCATTTGAAACAGTGTTACTGCTAGCAGTTCATCACCAATAAGTGGCTGGCCTGAAAATAAAATATAGAAAATCTCAAGAAATATTGAACTTACTGAAAAGTATTCCTTATAAGTACTGTCAGAAAAATGTTTTTCGTTATGAAGATTACATTCCAATTTTATCTCAATTACCTATCAAAAAGATAATAAAACAGAAACATGTTAGTTGTTCCTTTTACAGCAAATTATTGTGATAATGGTTCAAATTTTTATACTATAAATACTAAAAAACTTAACAATGACAATGAAATTCAACAGTTGGCTCTAAAAATGACACTGAACCAGAATGCTTACACCAAGACATAATTATCGAGTATTCTGGAACTACAGTTATCCCTATTTAATAACCTTAAAGCACAAGACCATGCACACATTGTGACACCTAACAAATATGGAATTCTAAATCCTAAACAATAATATTGTATCACATTTCAACACAACAAATGTTTTTATTTTGCTGTATATTTCAAACTTTTAGATCAAAATTTATATATAAGGAATAACTCACAATAACATATTAGCCACAAATGAAAGACTTTAATCTACTTATTGATCTAAAAATTGCAACAAATGTTTTTTGTCAAGACACATACGTCCAGTTTCTTCTCTATAAAGTTAAATAAATAATAAAAACAGATATGAATAAATGTTTTGGGTAAACCTGGAAAATAATTAACCCAAAATACTAACTGAGCTCATTTTTAAAATTCTCTTGAATCTTTTTCATTTCATCTGAGTCTGAGTCTGCAGAAACCCTCATCACTTCTACGAATGTATACAGAACACTGAGTATGACTCTCAAATCTGTGCTGTCTCCGAGGGAAACTGCTGGTTTTCTTAAAGCTGAGGTCGCTGCACTGCTGTTTCTGAAAAACAAGCAATTTATCACATGAAAAACAAAAAAGTTTTCTTCTAAAATATTCTTTAGAATATATTATTAATCTACTTTTGTATACATTAATCAAACACATTGGATTAAAAGCTTTACAAAGGTGACTGTAGCTTCTAAGAAATCATCACCTTTATGTATTTTTATTGAAGCTCATAATACACAAAACAGAAAAGATAAAAGTAAATTGGTTGAATACGTGAAACCTTAAAAACCAAGTCTTTTTTTTATTTATACCAAAATATCAAAGTCAAGACAGTTATACAGGGTGTTTCAAAGGTCCATACTCATAGGCAGAATTCACTATTAACCCTTATTTTTAACAACTGTTCAAATTTCATGCTGTCATCTTGCATACACACTTTCTCATGATGTGTATAGTCACCTATTATATATATACACACATATATATATTTGTTTCACTTATTTGTAAAATAAACAAACAAATATCAATTACAAATAATAAAACAGCTATGAATACAGACTTTTGAGACACCC